CCCTGTTGGATATTCTATCTCAATGTGTACTGGCACAAGTGTTTCAGTAGATCGGCTTTCGCGAGCAATTTCTTGCTCCAGATCTAGGTCTCTACCATTTCGTAGACTCACTGCCATAATCTATTTCGGGCCCTACTCTTTTGGATTGATTTGTATGTGTGTGCAAGTAACGTCCCTTGGGGACAATTGTTCAGAGCCATCGAAATATGTCCTAATTGAATCTCAATACCCTTTATCACTGATTCATGTGAGTCCACTCTCTCTTGTATTTTCTAGTGGACCCAATCGTTTGTTGTAGCATTCTGTTGTTGTTGTTGTTTAGCATTCCCTTAAGTTCAGCAAACTCATCATCTTGTCACAATCTGTTGTTGTCGAGGTTGTTGATAAACCAACTGCTGATTTTGCTGGTTGTCCCTGTTGCCCTTAGTAAGGCACCACTTGACCCTGTGGTCGCATAGCTCTAGGATTGTTGTTGTTATTGTACTACTACTGTGCTGGTCTATATTGTTGATTTTGTTGTCCCCAATTCTGACCACCTTGCCTCTTTCCCCCATAGTTGGCCACATAGTTCATATCTTCCTGATATTGCTGGTTGTCACCTTCCGCACTCCACGAGAAAACATATGGTTGGTTAATGAATGGTGTACATAATCCCCCATTAGTTGCGTCTACTATGTGTACCTTCTACTTCTGGCCTGATTCATCGATCTTTTTGGTGAGGATACTCATTTGCGTCATTAGAGTGGCCATATTTTCAGCTATGGAATTATTTGGATCCAAATCCACTGAGTGAACTACAGGAGTGATCATAGAGTCTCTTGTAATCCATCCTGAGTGTTGGGCCATTTTATCAAGTAGGATCTTGCATTCTCTGAATGTTTTGCTCAAAAATGCTCCACGTGCTGAAGCATCAACATTGTCCTTTAAGTCGTATGCCAATCCCATGTAGAACCTCTAACCCAACATCTGATCAATAATGCCATGATGTGGACACTTAACCAGCATACCCTTGAACCTCTCCCACATTTCTTGTAGTGATTCTGTTGGTCTCTGCCTGAAGCTCAATATATCATCAATTTGTTTGGCAGTCTTATTGGCAGGGTAGACCTTGTTCAAAAATTGCTTGACTAATTCCTCCCAAGTAGCAATGGAGTTTATGGGGAGTGAATTAAGTCAAGTCTCAGCTTCTCATGTCACCAAGAATGGAAACAATAACATCTTTATTGCTTCCGGTGTCACATTAGGTTCCTTTGCATGACACATATCGACAGGAAATTTTTCAGATGCTGCTGAGGATCTTCAATGTATGACCCTGAGAATAGTCCCTTGTTCTGCAACAAATGTAGCATGTTGTTTGTGATTTGAAATGATTCTGCTTGTATCTGAGGGACTGCAATTGCGGTTGTCAGGTTGTCGGCGGTGGGTTGTGCCCAATCATACAATGCTGCTTCTGGCACAAGAGGCACCACACCCTGATTGTTCGGGTCATTCTCATTATTTTTGTTGTTTTGATTTTCAACTCCTTCATCCATGTCTGGTTCAATTTGTTTTGTTGAGTTCTGTTGTTGTTAGCTCTTCTTGTTTGCCCGATTCAGTGCCTTGAAAACTTTCTCAGGATCTGATAATGCTTCGAACAATTCACCAGTTCTTAAGGAGTTTCTAGGCATGAACCTGTAACACCCAAGACTACAAACGTTAGAATTTCAATGTATTTAGTTTAAAAATGAAGAAAATTGACTACACTAAGAATTCTAGCACTTCTTTTAGCTGCAATTAATAACACGGTAAATTCCCTGGCAACGACGCCAAAATTTGATCACGCCCAACTATGCCTTGTAAAAATAACTTAGCGATCGTTGCAAATATATTCCGGTTAATAAGTCTGGAGTCGAATCCCACAGGGAATTAATTAAACACAACTACTAGACTCGCACAAATTCACGCAATCAATCTTCAAAAATATTTAAGTAACAAATTTGTTGTTTACTAACTAAATATCACGTAATGAAAATGCAATAATTAATAACTAACTACGAACGGGTTGTAGACAAGAATTGGAATGATCTAAGATTGTGATTTCCCCCATTGTCGGAATCCTTTCCGCTATGTTTTCTATAAATTTGCCTAAGTCTTCTCTACCGATCATGAGCACTGTGCGTGTTGTAATTCTCTCCCGAGTAGCTACCACAATTTACTAGACATATTCTTCCGAATTACGTTAGCTGGCACTAAGTACGGCTCACTCGGATCGCACCAAGGTTTCGTTATCCCTAATCCCACCTTTAAACCCTCCGTATTGATGCCTAACGACCTAAACATGCACTCTCTCCCGAGTAATACACACTAAATAGGCACAGTCGATTGAGGGATCTTCAATCAACAACAATAATAATATAGTTGAACATATAGAGAAAATACTACGGCAAATCTATATTAACGTAACGGGAAAATCATCCTTCAATAGGTTCCATCAAAACTCTAGATTAAAAGTTTAGCTACCCATACTCATAGTAATAATACAAAATATTTTGCATAATTAAATTACAAAGTAAGGATAAAGGGATATAGAAATCGATGAATCTAACTCCCAACGGGTGTTCCATGAGCTATAATTGCCCACAGTTGCCAAAATCCTTTAGAAGTGGCGTTTTAGGTCTATTTATATGTGTAGAAAAAAACCTAAACGCGTATGCCAAGTCCTAGTCAAACCAGGAGACGAAATAAGCCTTCAAAGCTCGGAATGTGCGCGCCTCAGACCTGGCCTCGCGAGGTATAATACCAGCTTGAGCTCGCCCCAGCCCTGGCGTCGCCAGCTTCCACGCGAGGAGGACCTCGCATTCTACCTCGCCTCGCCAGCTCCCACGCGAGCGAAAGGCCTGGGGTCGCCAGCTTCAACGCCTGCTCTAGGCCTGGCTTTGCCAGCTTTCTCATTTGTAGGCTGCTCACTTCTTTTTTACTTCTTTTCAAATGTTTTCGAGCACGCTTTAGACTTTAAGTACTCATTTTGCTCTACTTTCATCTCCAATTCACCTACACATAAAATAGCCTCCATTACGCGCAAATAAAATGTAATTTATCACTAAAACATATAAATGCAAGGCAAATAATGTACTAAACTATGAAATTATAGCCACACATCAGCCGTACCATACCGACCGACGAACACTCCTAATGTGAGATTGGTCCACTGGCTATTAATTTTATTTTTTGATAAATAATATGCTTGGATATAAATATTAATATAGATTTTAAAATAAGTAGAACAAATAATTATGAAAATATTTAATAATAGCAAAGAGAGGCAGAGAAAGAAATGTGATTGACAAAAGTCATTTACTAATGTATCAACAAACATAAAGTATAAAGTTTTGATTTTTTATCATTTGAAAATAGAACTTTCGTGGATAAAAAGATAGTTATAATTAAATATTTAAAATATGGTTTGAGCTGATATAAGAATTTGAATCCTCAAAGAATAAATTATTTATTTTAATGATTTAAAAAGATAATTAACTATTTGAATTAACTCTTTTTTCCCCGAATTTGAATTAACTAATTTGCAAAATAATCTAATTTCATTCTTTTCAACTTCATCATATAGGTACATTTATTTTCAAGTTACATAAATTATTTTTCGTAAAAAGACCATCGAGGATAAAAGAATCAAAAAATAAAATAAAATTAGTTATACTATTAAGAATTAATTTGTTAAAACGCAAACTTGAAGAAATGGTAGAAGCAAAAATATATTTAATAAAGAGATTCAAATGAGACACAATTTAACTTATTTTTATCTCATATTATAAGGTATATATAATTACAAAATAATATGCAACTAATTTAACTAAATTCCTCATCTTTGCATATTTAGAAGATATTGAATTTAACTACTATGTCATTTGAGATAACATCTACTTTTATTATTTATATAAATATTATATTTTATTTAACGTTAACATATAAATATTTTTAATTGATAAATGCTATACACGCACAACGCACGTATACTAAACTAGTTACTAATAAATGAGTGAATGATCATCTGCTACAACATTGTTATGTTAGTGTGGCCTAGTTTGAATTTTTTAGGACTCTGCTATATTCTTCGTCGAACATTTTTCTAAAACACATACATAAACTGTGAGCTTTTGCATTTCAAACAGTTCATTAAACTGTGAGCTTTTGCATTTCAAACAGTTCATTGTTTTCCTTTTCTTTTCTTCTTTTTTTCAAATTGTTTTTCTAATTAATGAAGTAGTTCTTCGTTTAAGAATATATACAGTGCCTAACGCTGCATTATGTTGATTAGTTTCAGGTGATTAAGCTGTCCAAGGAGGAGGAAGAGGAGCAAAAATACAGTTTTATTCCAGATCATATATTAGTAGATGATTTGCTACTCCCTCCGTTCCGGTTTATATGAACCTATTTCCTTTTTGGTCTGTTCCAAAAAGAATGACTCTTTTATAAATTTAGAAATAATTTAGCTTAAACTTCCAATTTTACCCTTAATGAGAAACTTTTATAACCATACAAATATTCTAGATCCTTTTTTGACTTGTTTAGAACCACAAATTATAAAAGTCTTCATTTTTTCTTAAATTTTGTGCCCAGTCAAACAGATTCACATACATTAAAATGGAGGGAGTATTAATTATCCTTTGTGTTGAAAGACTCTAGGTTATGTTTGTTGTCTTCCTTGTGTTTTAGCGATAACTTTGCATATTTGTCAAAATCTTAGTACAAATAATAAGAATATTATAATACATAAAATCTCTCATCTAGTAGTAGTATTCTTTAAAAAGTGAGCTTCACAAAGAACTCCTACGGGTTTTGAGGTTCTATATGCAAATTTAAGATGCTGTGTAGATATTTGTGGCGTCTTTATATAATGCAATTTTTTTTTTTTTTTTAAAGAAAAATTGCAGTGAGGCACAGGGCAGGTGAACGCGTTTGGAGCATAGGGCGATGAATACGGGTTTAAATCTTATACGGGACAGAACGGAACGGGTTAAAATTGTGTGGGTCCAGACAGAACCAGCACCTGTACCGCCCCCGCCATTCGTAGTCTCTATACATCTCTCTCTCTCCTAAAAACATCTTTCTTATCTCTGGAAAGAAAAAGAAAAAGAAAAAGAAAAAAAGAAACCACACCATAAGTCCATAATCATATACATGTAGCAGAAATCCCATCAATTTCTGAGTCCACAGAATTCAGCTATTTTCCTTAGCTCAAAAGATAAAAGAAAAGAAAAAAAAAAATGAAGAGAGACCAAACGATGCCGTATGAGCAACTGGAAGATTCATTTTCAGGTGGTTGTAGCTCCGCCGCGGGTGGCGGCGGTTGTTCCGGAAAAGGAAAGATGTGGGAGGAAGATGGAGGAGTTGATGATGAGCTGCTTGCTGTTTTGGGTTACAAAGTGAAGGCATCAGACATGGCTGAAGTAGCTCAGAAACTTGAACAACTTGAGGAAGTTATGGGTAGTGTTGAACAAGAAAATCTTTCATTTCTTGCTTCTGAAACTGTTCATTATAACCCCTCAGATCTCTCATCTTGGCTTGAATCTATGATCTCTGAGCTCAATCCACCAGAGCCTTTTTCCAATTCATCTTCCTCCTTCACAACAAATCAAGTTTATGAGGATTCCTCCTCCTTCGATTCAGATCTAACAGCTATTCCAGGTAAAGCCGTTTTTCCCCAAATGGAAAATCCAGCTCATGAACTGCAGGTGCAGCAGCCACAGAGCAAACGATTCAAACCCACTACAACAACAGAGTTATCGCCTTCGTCCTCTTCAAGCATCTCCGTGGGGGGTGGTATGTGGAGAAGTTTTCAGAGCGAGTCAGTTTCCACACGGCCGGTGGTGATTGTTGACTCGCAAGACAACGGCGTTCGGCTCGTCCATACATTAATGGCATGTGCAGAAGCAATTCAACAGGAGAAGATGAAATTAGCTGAAGCTCTATTGAAGCAAATTGGATTCTTAGCTGTGTCACAAGCTGGGGCGATGCGAAAAGTCGCGACGTATTTTGCTGAAGCTCTGGCAAGGAAAGTTTACAGATTGTACCCTTCAAACCCTAATGATCCTGCCTTCACCGACCTTCTACAGATGCACTTTTACGAGACTTGCCCTTACCTTAAATTCGCGCATTTCACTGCAAATCAAGCCATTCTTGAAGCTTTTGCAAACAAGAACAAAGTCCATGTGATTGATTTCAGTATGAAACAAGGTATGCAATGGCCTGCTCTGTTACAAGCCTTAGCGTTAAGGCCAGGTGGTGCACCGACTTTCAGATTAACTGGAATTGGTCCGCCATCACAAGATAACACAGACCATTTGCAACAAGTTGGTTGGAAATTAGCTCAATTGGCAGAATCAATCAATGTTGAATTCGAATTTAGGGGCTTTGTTGCCAACACTTTAGCTGATCTTGATGCGTCCATGTTCGATATCCGTGAAGGCGAAACTGTTGCAGTGAATTCCATGTTCGAATTGCATCCGTTGCTAGCTAGGCCTGGAGGCATAGAGAAGGTGTTGTCATTTGTAAAGGACTTGAAACCTGAGATTTTCACTATCGTCGAGCAAGAAGCTAATCACAATGGACCGGTTTTCATGGACCGGTTCACCGAGTCATTGCATTATTACTCAACCCTTTTTGACTCGTTGGAGGGTTGCGGCGGTGGTGGCGAATTAGGGCCGGTGAGTGACCAAGATAAGTTGATGTCAGAGGTGTATCTAGGGCGGCAAATCTGCAATTTGGTGTCCTGTGAGGGTGTAGACCGAGTTGAGAGGCACGAGACATTGACTCAGTGGAGAACCCGGTTTAACTCGGCCGGTTTCGAGCCGGTTCATTTAGGTTCTAATGCATTTAAACAAGCTAGTATGTTACTAGCTCTGTTTGCTGGTGGTGGTGGATACAGGGTGGAAGAAAATAATGGTTGTTTGATGTTGGGTTGGCATACAAGGCCCCTAATTGCTACCTCTGCTTGGAAACTCAGTAGTTAACTCACCGAGTTGCTTAGATGGTTAACTCGGTTTTGGCCTTTCTTGTTCCTTTTTTTTTCTTTTTTTACAAATTTTTAGCAACTTTCTTTTAATCTTCTCTTTTACTAGGTCTTGAGATCTGTTTTATTAAATATATTTTGGTTTTTGGTAATCTTGTAATTTTCATGATGAATCTAAACTGTTCAATGTGTATTTACATATGGAAAAGAAAAGGAAAAAAAAGGACTCTTAGAGTGTGGAGTTTAACAATAACAACATCTGATAAGTTTGAGTGACATCTTTTCAGATGGAGAGTGATAAATATAGGGGTCGTTTGGTTTGAATACTGGGATTAGTTATGTTAAATTATTTTTTATCCATTGTTTGGTATGTTTTATTAAATATGATAATTGCTCAATTTGTAAGAAGAGTGTATAAGTTAAATCGGTGCTAATTACCTCACCCTTAAAAAAATTCCCTTTTTTGGAATTTTTTTCACTTTTTTCCGAAATTAGCGTTAGTTCATAAAAATTTTAATTTTCACTTTAAGATACATTTTTAAAAATTTCAAAAAGGTATTTTTCAAAATTTTCATTCAGATCACTAACAAAACTTTAAAAACAATCCAAAATTATATTCATGTCCAAACACAATTCTAATTTTCAAATACTATTTTTACTTAAAAAAAATTTCCACTTCTTTTTAGAATCTTACAATTCTTATGCCCAAACGCCTACTAAGTTTAGTGTTCTTATTCCTAACCCTTTCACAGTCCTCCCATGAAGAAGACAATATCGAGTTGTCTGTCAAATAATGTACTACATGTGTTATTGTACATAAAGAAATTTGGTGTACATAACGAAAACACATCAGCATGTTCCTCGGCATAAAGCATATAAATTTTGATGAATTTTCCACCGATTTTTTTAGGTCCAGAAGTAGCAACTGTATCCCACTTATGAAACTTTTTTACCCTACATGTTTAAGGTTTCACTTAATTACATTTAGCATACCAAATTATCATTTATATACCATATCTAATTAAGGTTATAATAATATGATATGTTATACTCCTTAATTTAAGCACTTCCGTTATTTGACAGTACTAAGTAATAATCCTCTCTTTCTCTCTCCTAACCCCTCATCCCCATACCCCCCACGTTCATTTGTACCCTCCCACGCTTATTCCTCCATTTTCCTTCTTCTGTAACCACTATCTTTACCTCTAAATTCAAACAAAATCCAGTAAACCCTACAAACAAATTTCTATCCTCATTTTTATTTACTTGAAGTTCATCAATGAAGATCAAGCAAGGTTCGAAAACGAGTCTGGCTGGAGAAAGGAGATTGAAACTCCTAATCGTGCTTTTATCATTTTGAAACTCCTGGAGAAAGGATTCGGAAAGCAAGAAACTTATCATTTTGCTTTTATTTCTGTAACCAAACGATAATTCCTAATCGTGCAGACAAGTCTGGCTGGAGAAAGGAGATTGAAACTCTTCGAAGAAGAAGAAGAAGACATATTTCCAGAAATTGTAGATAAATTGTAGAATTGTAGAAAAATTGTAGATAAATTGTAGACTGTTTTTTGCAGAAGATTTTGTAGAAGCTTTAGTCGTTTTGGATATGTGAAAACAGAAAACAATGCATCTACAATCAGAATACAAATAATCTACAATTTATCTACAAGATATCTACAAATTGGATACATTGAATTTTAATATCCCAATTCCCATTTCAATTGTAGCATAATTGGCATTTTCGACATAATTGTAGAAGATTTGTAGAAGTTTTAGTCTTCCCAATCTACAATTTATCTACAATTTATCTACAATTCCACAATTTATCTACAAGTTATGGAATATGTCTTCTTCTTCTTCTTCTTCTTCTTCTTCTTCTTCTTCTTCTTCTTCTTCTTCTTCTTCTTCTTCTTCTTCGAGTTTCAATCTGAAATTCAGTCAAAACCAAGTCTAGTCTTCACCAAAACCCCTCAAAATTGAGATATAAACTCCAAATCATATTCCCGATTATTTTCAACAACACCCAATCCAAACAAATAATGATTTTTGAAAACCCAAATTTGAATTCAAAGTTTTCAAGCTTTTTAATGGCTATCAATGGTGGAAAATATATGGAAGAACAAATGAAGATGAAGTTGATGAACAGAAATCTCCTTTCTGTTCAAAATTACGCAGCTTCCAGATCTCCTTTACGTTTCAAATTTCAAATTTAATTTGGAATAAATCAATCCCAGATTTTGTGGCTGATTTTTCGCGCGCAATAAATGGCATATTTTGCTTAATAAACGATTGGTATATAAATTGTAGTTAAAGTGTGGACTGGGCGGGTAATATACAAACTATGCACATTTTTTGTAATAAGGTTTCAAATATGGTATACTTAGGAAAAAATCCCATAAAATGATTACGATGGTAACTAGGCTCGAGCTGAGGCCAGCCGGGCCTACACATTACTTAGCCGAGTTTAATCGGGCTTTTCATACATTATTGAATGAGCCGATCTAAGACTGAGTTCCGAACCTAGTCCAAGTCGGCTCTTCTTTATTTGTTTTCACATACTAGTAAACCCTTTTAGGAGTTTTCATTTAATCATAAACTACACTAGAGTGTAATTAAATTTTTAGAGAGTTGCATAAAGGATTTTTATTGAATAATCATGTGATATTTGATATCTATTGACCTGACTAATTCAGATTTGTGCACGTCGGACCAATTAAAGGGGAAACGGTACGACTAACTGTATTGGTCTAAATTTGGACGGCTTAATAACTGCAGATAAACAGGGTCGAGGACGGGGTCGACTACGGCATAGTAGCGAGGAGTCATCTTCGGAAGGATTATCGCTAAAGACGAGCAAATAGAATAAAGAAGTAATGGTAAGATAGATTTAGAAATAGACATAAGGAATATTCCTTTGGATATTCCTTATGTTGTACTTTTTTGGGTTTCTTGGGGATATCCCTTACAAATAGGAAGAGAAAGAGAACAAAGGGAAGATTTTCACTTCTTGATAAGAGCACTTTGTAAAGAGTTGACCAAAAAGAATATACAAATATTACCTTGTTCACTGACTACTTTGCTCAACATACATTATTCATTCTTTGTTCGGAAGATCCAAAGATTCCTTATCCATCTTTACTTATCTTCACCCCACGTTGCTGTCAGGAAGAAGAATCACCCAAACCGTCTAACATTTGGGTGATAAATTCCTCTTTATTACATTTATTGTCATTATCTACATTTATTGCATGTTCTTATCACAATATTCATTGATAATCATTGAACACGTGCCTGATCTTTATTACTCTAAAACATGGTTCAACTCCAAGATCTGTCCAAGTTTTTTGTCTAGATCGCATTATATTTAACTAGGATTCACCCTCTATCTTATCATTAATTAGTTTAACAAAGAGCTTAACACTTTTTGATCAAACAATTTGGCGCCGTCTGTGGGGAGGTTTCTAGTTAAAATTTTAGTCCTTTCTAGATAAAAAAAAAACAACATCATCCATCTTTTCCTAGTTTGCACGAACTAACAATGGCAGGAAAAGGAGATGAACGACTGAAAGCAGTAGTAGACGTCACTACCAACCTCCTAAGCACCATCAACGAGGTTGACAGAGAAGGCGAAGAGAACACGACGCCGAGCGCTACACCCAGGCGAAGCGACTCACCTCCCCCTCATGGAAGTGTAACCGCTTCACGTGAAAGGGGAGCCTCCACATCTACAGCCGAGGAAGCACCGCCAGAAATCAAAAAATTGCTGGAGATGTGGCTGACGAGCACTCTAAGCAAAATACTCGACAAACCCGCTCAACGGGCGAATAGAAACATCATACAAACGGATATCACAGCAACCACCGACGAGCAACCCGCTCCCCCAACAGGTAACACTCACACCACTGTTGGTAACGATGCACTTGCTTCCATCATAAAGAAAATGGAAGAAATGGAGAACGAGAATAAATCGCTTCGCGACCAAATTAAGGAGCATCAAGAAAGGGTCGATAAGATACCGGGCGCCCCGAAATTACTACCAAAGCGGGACGTCGGCCGATTCGTCGAACAACCATACAGCGAGAGGCTGCCCCACATGCCATACCCAAAACCTTCAAGATGCCACCATATTTGAAGATATATGACGGCACGACAGATCCGGAAGATCACATTATTCATTACGTTACAACAGTAAAGGGCAACGACCTCTCAAAGGAGCAAGTACCATCAGTGTTACTAAAGAAGTTCAGCGAGACCTTAACCGGGGGGCCCTTAACCTGGTACCTACAATTACCAGCGCGATCTATAACAACGTTCGAAGAAATGGCTGATAAGTTTGTCACCGCCCACGCCAGGGCTAAGAAGGTGGAAGCCAGGGTAAATGATATATTCGTCGTTAGGCAATCGCCTGGCGAGGGACTCAGGGACTTTTTAGCTCGGTTTAACAAAGTAAGAATGAGCTTACCAAATGTATCGGAGGGGATGGCGGTGGCAGCTTTCCAAAACGAGTTGAACAGGAATGGGTCAAGAGCGACAAGAAAACTATTAAGCAGACTCATGAAACACCCTCCCACCACTTGGAAGAAATTCACAACGCCTACTGCGGTGAGGTGAGAGCAAACAAGGATGATCTTAACCGTCCAATCTAACGGTTAACGTCGGTCCAAACAGAGCCAAGGAAAGACCGTCGTAATGACGGTTGAAGAGACTAGTCAGGTCCATGCCTCAACCGAGACAGGCATCAACCTTATGTCATTCCACCATCTCCCCGCCATGCGGAAGGACCGTCCAGGCTTCATACAGAGACTCGGCGAAACGAAAGAGGTATGCCTCCACTCTTATCTGCTCACAATTTTTGTGAATAGTGTACACACTAGAGAAACTCGGCCTGAAGGTAAAATGGCCACAGAAGATGAAATCCGACCCAACCACCAGAAAGTCGAATGTCCTCTGTGAGTTCCACCAGGAGCGGGGCCACAAGACCGAGGACTCCATAGCCCTGCGGCAAGAAGTAGTGAACATGCTCCACCAAGGGCACCTAAGGGAGCTGATGAGCGACCAAGGAAGAGCCAATTTCGGTCGCGGACGAGAAAAACACCAAAGCCCTCCAAAGCCACCTTCCCCTGCCCGCACTATTCACATGATCATCGGTGGAGGCGACGAAGCAGCAATCAACCACGTAAAGTTTACCACCACACATAAAC